CATTGGCATAATGGCTGTTGTCTAATTATTATTATTATTTTTTTGGAAAAGTTGTTTGTTTTCATCTTGGACGACCTTAACTATTAATTCTGAACTGCTCGGTACACATTTTCGCAGACATATTTAAATGCGGATCAGACACATTCTGTGTAAATTCTTTTGATGACTGAACAGCCAATCAAGATCAATATTAACATTTTCGGATTGATACAATGGTGTTTGATGGAGATTGTAAGGTGCAACATACACCCGTTTCGGATTCACAAGTTCCTACATGAACTATGATTTGAAATCTAGGCTTTTTTTTCCCAATTCTCCATGAATAGTGAATGAATAATTTATATTGCGTGGAAGACAGTCTACGGGTTCGAATCCCAGCGTTGGCAGGTTGTTATGAATTCCGGATCCGGCTTGCACCTTATGAAAAGTATCCTCAATGGTAGACTGATCATGGGTTTGAGTTTCCTTGACGTCAGGCTAACCGTGAAAGGTTTTCGTGGTTTTCCTCTCCATGTAGTACAAATACGGGTTTGTTCCATCAAAAGTCTTCTCGAAGGCAAACTTTCTCCCAGTACTTGATCCAGGAAATCCCTTGTCTTCTGGATTGAGTTCAAAATGACGAGGCTGAAGAGTTGAACATAAATAATCGTAAAATTTGGGTCGGCAGTTCAACGACGGTTATCAAATAAAATAAATTACAGTTGATAACATCTTCGAAAATATTCTTTCGAAACAGCAGTGTTTCAGATAATCAATGGCAGCATAAATGCCACTCTTCAATCCTGATGACTGAAGTCAGTCTTGATCAGATCAGTCTTGAGTAAAGATCAGTGAGTTGATTTTCCGTTCTAAGAATAAATATTTATTTTCAATTTGTTTTTCAGATCAAACTTTTACACACAAATTAATTTGTTCTTTAAAAATTGTATTATTTTATGTTAAATTAAAAAAAAAATTATTAGCTTTTAGGAAAATGATTATTGGAAAATGATCGAGTATATTTAATAATTATATTTAATAATAATATTAGTATATCACAAGCAATGATAGAATAAAATTTGACTGAATTTCAACATCTGCTTGAGTAACAAAAAAATTGTTAAATTTGAATTTGTATCTCCTCCCCAACTGAAGACCAACTTTAGAGATACTGTAAAAATGTGGAAATATAAATATCTTCAAGAAAAAGTCAGTGGTATAATTCAGCGATTGTTGTATAGAAATATATTAAGATAGCTTTTTTTTTTCTATTGCTGTGTAAAATAAACCATTAAATTGAAAAAAATTATATATTTTCTGGAAAAACGATGGTATAGCATGTGGACTATTCTCATGAAAAATGAGCCGTAAATCTCTGAAAATTCTTCTAAATACAGTCTCTGGCCATTTTGTTAGATGCACTATAAGATTCTATGTAAAATCTTAATTATCAGGTGACACTATACAGCATCATTGTTTTGAGGCTGATGAAATCAGTTTGTACACTTGTTTACGTTCGTGTAGCAATTAGTTAACATTGTAATTCAATACGTTACGCAAAATATGCAAATAGCATCTGAATCACGCATTTAAATAATCACTTTTTGACGCTCTCAATTTACGCCGATAGTATTGTAAATCAATGTAATGCTTCGATTGTATTTTCTGCAGTTATTGATTTTCTCGTGGATTTTAAATATCCCAATATATTTCAAACAATGGGAGAAATTCGAATCGTGCATTTGTGTATTTACTTTTTAAGTCCGATTACTTTTAAATCCGATACATTTTATGCGATATAATTTATTACAACAACCTCGGAACACGCATTTGAAGAGTTCGATTTGTGCTATTTCGTCGTCGATCTTTTTTTTTCGGCAATTACTACTATGGATTTTATAATTTTTAATTATATTTTTTATTGTGATAATTATTTACAAAAGGCGTAGAAGGAACAATAATTTGTGTTCCCCCACCCCCTCAAAATGCGAGAATATCATAAGTGCTTTAAAATATTTTTTAGAGCTTAAAAAGTACTTATTTTTGTTGAAAGATTTGGCTACGCAGCCTGTTAGTTACAAAAACTACTTTTAATCCATCTTATTTTATTATAAGTTCACTAAAGATTCATATCTTAATCAGGGCTTCCCTAAAGACTTTTTAAAAATGCGGCCCACCCTGCTTGCCCTTTGATCCCTATAAATGTGCCCTCATTGCTTTTTTTGAAGATTATTTGCATTGTTAATATTCTCAAATGGTTAAATTTTTATAATTATCTTCCTCCTTCTCTCATGGCGGTATATTAATAAATTTTTTAAGTGATTTTAAATTTTTTAAAAATAAAAACCTGTTTTTTTTTTTTAAATTCACCTTTAATGTTCATTTTCCAATAATTTTTACCATAAAATGTAGAAAAATTTTTTAAGCTGTTTATGAGAGATAATTTTTTTTAGTTTACTTTCTTTGGAAAAAAATGTGCGCGCGGAAATTGTCTGATAGCATGCCTTCAATTAATATTTAAGAATAGCAAATTTTTCTCATATTTAAGTAATAAGTGAAAATTACTTTTTGAACTATACTCATGAAATATAATGACGATAATTTAAAAATTGATGTTAAAAATCTCGCTCAGATTTAATTGTATACATATATATATTTTGTATTATATATATTATATCTAATTATATTATGTATAATAATATATATATATGTATAAATAAATAATCAGAAATTATCCCCATAATATGAATTCAGACGCAAACCTACATGAGGTATAATATGATATTTTAAATAAAGTTAATTTAGATCTTTTAAGTCTTAATAATCTCATTTAACTGTGAAAGCGTTCATAACTATTACGGCTCTTTCTTTGTAAAATGTCCAGCTACGCCTATGGATATTATTAGGGATGAAAATCCTTCTACTCTACCTGGTCAAAAAGCAGAGTTGAGTTTTCGATTTCATCATCAAAGAAAGAAAGACTTGTTAATAAAAATGGAATTTAAAAAAAATTCTAAATTATTGGGCAAACCATCGTTATATAAATTTAAAAAAATTGCAACCATCGTTAAGAAGAAATCATTTATGAGCTTCCTGATTATTTAAACAGTAAAATGATGTTATGTGAATGAAATTTTATTTGAATGTTTTTTTAACTTAGTTAACTAATGTTTTTTTTTAACTTTAAAGATGCCTAGAAAGAAGATTTTGCCAACGAAAAGACCACGAGTAAGCTATGATTTCTTTCTATAAAATAAGACATAATTTTGCTTTCAATGCTTTTTATACTAGTGTAGAAAAATCCTAAAAGTATGTCTGATAAAAATTAAAAAATGAAAAATTTGCCACTTTTTAAGTGTTTTAAAACAGTTCCACACATTTAGAGTTTATAAATTTTCAAAAAAACTCTATTGGATTTTGTCAGTTTCTCAAGATCTACTGGTTTAATTAAAATTCTCCTGGTTTTTGTACATGTTCGAAAATTTCATAAAATTGAGTCTAATTTCTAAAAAAAATCCCTATTGAAATGGAAATATACATTATGCAATATTATTATTATAATCATACGCAATACATTTGAATGAGTATTTATAAGGAATTGAACCTCGTTTATAAAAATCAATTCAAAACTTTTTTTGTTTTAAAATGGTCAGTTTATTTTCATTGTGAACTCTTTTAAATAAATTTAAGAATAAATATTTTAACTATCTTTGATGAACTTAATGTCTATTAATATTCGAAATTATGAGAAAAAATAATACATAAAATTTCAGGTATGTTTAAAGTGAAATCATAACTGAAAAATATTTCTATTTTGATGACTATAAAAATCCTTAAAATTCCTTACGTGTAAATAGTTAGTACATTATGCAACGATAATCATGAAATTTATGCTGTTTAGTAAAATCTACTGGATGGTTTCCTATCCATGTTGGTAGCTAAGATTACTATGCATATTAAAAATCATTTTGTGATAAATAGAATATTCAAATTCATCCTCATTTAAAAAAAAAGAAAGAAAAAAATGAGGATTATTGTTTAGGCCTTTAGTGTGAGAGCGCTCCAGTGCAGTTAAACATCAATGATTATAAAACATTGAAATTCGTCATTTGTTGTTTTCATTGAAATGAGAACCGAAAAAGGATTTGGAAGTCTGAAATTTAAAACCAAACCCTTTTTAATCCCTCTTACTCTTAAATATAGAAAGGGGTTAGCAAAGAGACATGTTTCATTTCGCTTAATTTGTCTTAAATTAATAATTTTTTAAAAATTTTTTTAACTGAAAAGTTCTATAGAAATAGCTGCAACTAGTATGTATAACTTGGGATCTAAACCTTCGAAATATGAGGGCTCCGAGAATCACCAGCAACGGAGCAAATTCTCAATAGTTTAGTCAAGATAAAGGTCGTGAGACGCGAAAATTATAATTTCGCTAGGGAGATTTTCCCATCCTGATCTGTGTCAGAATAATGCCAAGTCTTGACAACTTCCGAGCAGCGGCCTGCAAGAAAAAAAAAATCCAACTCAAAAGGTATAACTCGTAGCCACCTCCGGGAAAACATCTACGTGCGCTTTTTTTAAAAAAAAATTTACAAGTTTAAAATCTAGTTATCGATTATAGCGATTGTAGTTGGCAAGACAGATCACGATACGGAAATCCTATATCCATTTCGCTTTTTGCCTATTATGTCATAATTCGGAAGTTAACAGAAAAAATCGATTTCTATTTTGCTTTCTTTCTTTTTTTTCAGATACATAAAATTCGTTTTCGATTATTCCATGTAACAAATATTTTCAAATAAATCATTTCTTATTATTTTATTTAATAATAGCAACAAAAAAAAAATAATCAGACAAATTTCGCATCTTCTAAAACTTAGAAGATAAAACGCCTAAATTTATGAAGAAATGAATTTTAAAATCGTGAGTAAAAATGTTTTCGTTTGGTTTAAAAATAGTTTTGGACTCTTTTTATTACTTTGAAGGATTGTGCATTTATTTATTTATTTTTCTACTTTTAGGAAGAAGATGTTTCTTCTGATGAAGAACAAAGGTAAGTAAACTTTTACTCGACTTTAATTACGCACGTTCTTCAAAGGGTAAAATGTGACTATTATAAATAGTCAAATAATTTAACTTTTAACTACTATTGGTGAATATATTGAAGTAGTTGACAGTTTTAAACAGTTAAAATTTCATTGTGCTTTGTTATAAATTAATAAAATTTATTTTTTCTAAGATATCCCATGCGAAATAATATTTATTATGCTGTGAGTCATGCACATTCTGACGTAATTTTTAACTAGGCAATTTTAAATTACAAAATACCTATTTGTCTGAAAAATCGATCAGTTTTTGAAGAAAGAAACACCATTTTCATTTGAACTTGGAAACTATTTTACTTATAGTGTTTGTATTTTACACTTCGTCATTTAAAATCACAGATTTAAAATATTTTTTGTTTTTGTGGTGGTGGTACTTATTCCTCTTGGCCCAGAACAAGGCTAGACCAAGTCCAGGAGACCATTCACCGACACAAAATCAAACACCATCTGCGGATCCTCCAAAATAAATCTCTGTTTTTGTATTATCCATAACTCAAATTTTTTCACCCAACAATATATAAAATATTAAAAAACAATTAAAGAAATTTTTTTGTCAGGGATAATTAGCTAAGATAATTAGCTAAGGTTTGAACAAAGTTTAATTATTATTTTATAAGTTATATTTTCATATTAATTATTATTTTATAAGTTTTGAAAGAAATATTTTTGTGAAAGGAATATTTTTAAAAAGGAATATTGCTCTAAACTGAGTAATTTTAGGGAAAAAAACGATTGAGAAACGAAAAATGAAAATTATTTTTGAAAAAAGGTGAAAAATGTTATGTTTAATATTAAAAATATTTCAAAATTTAAATAAGTATATGATGTGATTTTATTAAATATTTAAAAATAAAAAAAAACGTTTTTAAGAACATTTTGTCAATATGCAACAAAATTGATGATTACTTGGATTGAAAAAATAGTCATTGATATTTGATAGAAAGAACCAGACTCTTTGCTTCTGTTATATACATTTTTTTTAAGAATTTCAATATAAAGGTTTAGTTTTATATCTGGTAATATTTACTACTTTTGGAATCAGCTTAATTTCGATCCTGTAAGCGAGAGATCGAGACAAAGAATTTTTTTTTTCTCAACTATAGGTAAATAGTCAATCCTTAAAAAAATCACAAAAAAAGTAAATAAAATTTCGATAATTTTAGCAGAAATTGCATGTTTGGATGCAGCTTGCTGTAAGTTAAAAAATAAAATTCAAATGACAATTTTTTTTTCGTTTTTTTTATACTTTATTTAATCATATTCCTGTCATTTCAGTGGAATAAAATTCCAAGTGACATTCAGAAATTATCTTCAGTCCGTTATTCCAAAATCACTTAAACTGTTACTTTAAGACCTTCTCTCATTTAGTTTTTAAATTGATCACAGTATAAAAGAGTTTTAATTGCTTATTTGGTCTAAAGATTTTTTGGTCTTTAGTTTAACCTTTCCAAGCAACATGCTTGCATATAAATACGTGCTCATATACGAGTGTTACTAAATATTCGTTTTATTAAAAATTAACAGCTGAAATTTTGTGCATTTTGTCACTTCACGCGTATTGATATCCTTAAGCTACGTTACTGATTTGGCATGCATGATTTTTATATTAATTTTTTTGTTCTTTTAGCATCCATCCTGTAGGCCTTTCAAAACGCCGCAGGATATCTTCTTCATCAAGTGAAGACTCTGATTCCAGGTAAATAAATCAACAATTGGTAAATAGTCAATCCTTAAAAAAATCACGAAAAAGTATTTAAAATTTCGATTATTTTCTCACCAATTGCATTGGATGCGACTTGATGTAAGTTAAATAATAAAAATTCAAATGATACTTTTTTTTCCCAGTTTGCCTTTTTCTACACTTTATTTGATTTCAAGTTAAGTCATATTCTTGTCATTTCAGTGGAAGAAAATTTCAAGTGACACTTAGAATAATCTTGAGTCTGATATTCCAAAATCCCATTAAACTGTTGCTAATCTCTACCTTCACCAATTTAAAAGAGTTTTAATTGTTCGTTAATATCTTTGGTCTAAAGATTTTTTAGATATTTTAACAGGTTTAGTCCTTGTTTGCAATATGTATGCATATAAATTTGTGAAAATAAATGTACTATGTTTATTTTATTAAAAAATGATGACATAAATATTGTATGCGTTCTGAAACTTCATGGGTATTGGCACTTTTACTCTACTGATTGGCATGCATGATTTTTATATTAATATTTTTGTTCTTTTAGCGAGCCACTGCTACCAACCTGTCCCTGCTGTACTGGGAGAAGGAAACGTTCTTCCTCTTCCGATGAGGCTCTCAATGAAGAAGTGAGTTTAATTCTTCTGAATTATAATGGATCACTTTTAAGGGATCACTTGAGGGCTCTCAATTTATCTACCTATAAGTACTTGAAATCATGAAAACTGACGCTCAGCATTAAAAGTATTCTAACATTTCATGTTTTTAAATTGAATAAAGGTGGCAATAGGAAAAACTAATTGAAAGTTTCGATGCATAAGTCTTAAGAAAAAATTTTATGATATTTCTACAAATTTGAAACGAAAACTTAGTTATTGAATATATTTTTTAAGTTTTGTTTTGGTTTGTGTATTTTTTGCTTAGTTTTAAGTGTGTTGAATTTGTTTTTATTTTCGACGAAGTAGGGGGATGAATACATTTTTGGTAGTTAATGATTTGGTTTGTAATAGTTTTAAATAACTTTACGCTAGTGAGAACTTAATTTTTGAAACTTTCATACAAAATATTATATTGGCTCTTTTTTTTCCGCAAATTTATTATTTTTTTTACCAATAAACTCTACCACTATTTGAAAAATGCTTGAAAAATATAATACCCCAATATAGTTTTATATGGTTTGAAATAAAGTTTTTAAATGGCATTATTATTATTAGTTGCAATATTCCTTACAACCTGGAGTTATTTATTAAATTGTATTCAGTTTGAAAAAAGGCTTCCAAATTCTCATTGGCTTTGTCTCGTTACACAGGCCTTGAATGTAATCAACAGGGATGAAATTTTTCCGCTTTTTAGCGGATTTCCGCTTCTTTCACTTTTATCTCTTGAATTTAAGTTTTTTTATAAAAAATTTCAGAGTTTCTAAAAATTTCACTTTTTTATAAGTATTCCGCTTTTTCAGAA